GCGCTGCTGTCCAATATCAAGAGAGAGTACCGGGCCAGGAATCACTGGCCCAGGAAAACTGGAAATACATACCTTTTGTACCTCTATAAAGTCAAAACTCACACCATTGTAAGTTAGGGATCATCTGTAAAACCATTTACATTAAATCCTAGGAAATGCAAATAAATCTACAGTGACAGAAAGCTGGTCAGTGGTCCTCTGGAAACAGTGTTGGGGAGGGGAAGGGGAGGGGATTACCAAGCCAACCAAAGAAACTTTGAGGGGTGATGGATGTGTTCATCATCTTAATTGTGGTGGTGATTTCACAAATATACACATAAGTTAAAACTACCCAGTAACACACTTTAAATCCATTCAGTTAACTGCATGCTAATTACATATCAATAAATCTGTTAACAAATACATCATAAATATAAACATGCAACATAAACATAAACATACAAATATATTTATAAATACATATAAACATACATATAAACATACACAAATATAAACATCATAAATATAAATATAAGCAAAAATATCACTCCTATGATTGTATTTATGCATGGGACTTGTCGAACTTTTAGCAGACCTAAAGCAATTTATTAACCTTTCTCCAAGCTTTTCCCTTCTGATCTCATAGTGAATGACACCACCAACCAGCCAGCTTTCCAAGTAGAAACCTTGGGCTCACCCAGTCTACTGCGGCTGCTGCTAAGTCTCTTCAGTCGTGTCCGACTCTGTGCGGCCCCATAGACGGCAGCCCTCCAGGCTCTTCCGTCCCTGGGATTCTCCAGGTAAAAACACTGGAGTGAGTTGCCATTTCCTTCTCCAATGCATGAAAGTGAAAAGTGAAAATGAAGTTGCTCAGTCATGTCCAACTCTGTGCGATCCCATGGACTGCAGCCCTCCAGGCTCCTCCGTCCATGGGATCTTCCAGGCAAGCGCACTGGAGTGGGGTGCCATCACCTTCTCCGCATCCCAGTCTGGGCTTCCCTAATGCCGCAAATGACAAAGAATCTGCCTGCAATGCAGGAGACCTGGATTTGATCCCTGCGGAAGGGAATGGCTACCCACTCCAGTATTCCTGCCTGGAGAATTGCGTGGACAGAGAAGCCTGGTGGACTGCAGTCCATGGGGTCGAAGAGCCAGACACTTCCACTTTCACCCCACTCTGCTCTCTTCCTCAGACTCTCCTTGTCCTTCCTTATGGCATTAGTGTGCACACTTCAGTCCAAGCACATTATTGCAGTGCTCTTTCCATTGTTTCTGTTGCCTGGAGTCTCACCCCTGCAGACGTACAGATGGCCAACAGGCACGTGCAAAGATGCTCAACATCACTAACCGTTAGAGACATGCAAATCAAAACTATAATGAGGTATCACCTCACACTGGTCAGATGGCCATCATCAAAACGTCTACGAATAATAAATGCTGGAGAGGATGTGGAGAAAAAGGAATCCTCCTACACTGTTGGTGAGAATGTAAATTGCTGCAGCCTTTTTGGTTTTCCATTTTGAATATAGCAGCATGTACATGTCGATCCCAAACTCCCTAACTATCCCTCCCTTCCCCCCTCTGTGAGGAAAACCTCTCTGTCTCTGTTTTGTAAAATAAGCTCATTTGTATAATTTCTTTTTAGATTCCTATAAGGGATATCATACAGATATTTCCGAAGATTCATTCTTGAGTCAGAATCACCACACCTAGGAATGTCTGCATCCAATAAAAAAAGAGATGACTGGATTGGATCATAGATGCTATTTCTGGTTTTCTATTTCTTTTTTTAACTCCAGATTCTATAGACCAAGACATGAATTTAGTCTCAGGATCAATTCCTCGAAAGTCTGCCCAAGTTTCAGTAAGATAGAGAGGAGAGCTTTAAAGCAACCAGCAAAGCCACATGGAAGGGGGAGAAGTTTCTGCAACTTGCAAAGCTTTGATTCATTGGCATATTCAAGAATTAACAGTAGCCTGAGGTCCCTGGAAGGAAGGGGGAAAAAAGAAACACAGTAACAATTACACATCTGATGGAGGGCACAGCTGCTCTGTTAGGAAAGCTGCCCCCATGCCCATCTTCCCAAAATTAAAGCAAATGTTCAAAAAAGAAGGAAAAAAAAATCACATGTAAATAAATGTCACCTACTTCACATTTTATAACTTCTCTCTACTAATCTCTGCCACATCCACTGATTCAGAATTCCACATAGAGCGGCAAATGCTCAGTTAATTTATATTAGATGCATGCTTGCTTCTGTAGCCAAAAAGAAAAAATGGTGATTGCCAGAAAAACTAAACGCAAGCCTGTTATTAAAATTAAACTTATTTCCCTAAAGCAATATCTGAGGCGACTTTCTAAAGCTCAGCTTAATCCTTCGACTTTCTGTTTTACAGTTTTACGGAGGCGGTTTGTTTACTCCAGCACATAAACTCCTTAGCTTGTGAGCCAAATTAACCAAAGCTAATAAGGGTTGTATTGGGAGCGGGGAACATTAGAAGGAAAGACCAGAATTAGGTGGACCTCAGGATGGTTGGCTAGGTGATGTGCTCGTATTTGGCCACAAGGGGGAGCCAGCCGCCGTGGAAAGCCTCCACGATCAGCCTGCGCGGTACCGCCCTACTCCCATCCTGCAGCAGCCCAAGTCTCTCAAGAAAAGCTCTTGACAAATTAAGGTCCCTTTGGGAACTGACTTCTCCCACAGCAAGTCAAGGCAAACCAGAGTTCCTAGATAGCTCTATGGTTTCTAAGTTTTTCGTCTGAAACATTGCTCGGTTTGGGTTATAACTATTATGTGGTCTCTAGCTATATGAGCTGAAGAAATAAAATCAGTGGTCAAAGCAGACACGGCTTTTGGTAGTTTCACGGGTCCATATATACTATACTGTATCAGACAAGGATTTCTAGTACCTCAGCATCATTAACAAACTTCATTTACAATAATATTACATTAAATTGGATGACTCTGTACCTTATTATTTTAATGGACTATGAGAGTTTATGGGAAACTATGCAACTTATTTAACTTATATGCAAAGTACATCATGCAAAATGCTGGATTGGATGAAGCACAAGCTGGAATCAAGATTGCTGGGAGAAATATCCATAACCTCAGATACGCAGATGACACCACCCTTATGGCAGAAAGTGAAGAACTAAAGAGTCTCTTGATGAAAGTGAAAGAGGAGAGTGAACAAGTTGGCTTAAAGCTCAACATTCAGAAAACAAAGATCATGGCATCCAGTCCCATCACTTCATGGCAAATAGATGGGGAAACAGTGGCAGACTTTATTTTGGGTGGCTCCAAAATCATTGCAGATAGTGGCAGCCATGAAATTAAAAGATGCTTGCTCCTTGGAAGAAAAGCTATTACCAACCTAGACAGCATATTAAAAAGCAGAGACATTACTTTGCCGACAAAGATCTGTCTAGTCAAAGCTATGGTTTTTCCAGTAGTCAAGTATGGATATGAGAGTTGGCCTATAAAGAAAGCTGAGTGCCAAAGAATTGATGCTTTTGAGCTGTGGTGTTGGAGAACTCTTGAGAGTCCCTCAGACTGCAAGGAGATCCAACCAGTTAATCCTAAAGGAAATCAGTCCTGAATATTCATTGGAAGGACTGATGCGAAAGCTGAAACTCCAGTACTTTGGCACCTGATGCGAAGAACCGACTCATTGGCAAAGACCCTGATGCTGGGAAAGATTGAAGGCAGGAGGAGAAGGGGATGATAGAGGATGAGATGGTTGGATGGCATCAGCAACGTGATGGAATGAGTTTGAGTAGGCTTCGGGAGTTGGTGATGGACAGGAAGTCTGGTGTGCTGCAGTCCATGGGATCACAAAGAGTCAGACAGGACTGAGTGACTGAACTGAATGCAACCCAAGTCCCAGATGAGGATGTAACTTAAACACAAACTAACCAAAGGGAACATAAATTTGTTATTTTTTTTTTACCCTACTGACCAGCTCACCCTTATAAAAATTACCTGCACTGTAGGCTGGGATTTGGATTACTGTGTACTTTCATAGACCACAAGAAAAAAGATGTTCTGATATTTTAAAACTGAAAATCTGCTACCAACAGCCCAGAGTTTAAGTTTCGTGACCCTGATGCCCAAGGATAGAAAGCGGATTACCTTCTGGTGACCCAAGGACTGTAATAACCTTCACTACACCCTACTTTGTGCCACCTACCAGTACAGCCTCAGGAGGCTGGAGAGCGCATATTTAGAACAAAACCCACTGAAAAGACTCAACACTTCTCACATAGGCGAGCCAACTAATATTGCACAGATCCTGGCTTGGTTGTTTTGCTTTGTTTTGTCTTTCTATACTGCTCTTTAACATCATGAATGTTAGAAATACGGTCACTTCTGCCTTCTTAATGAGTACCCCATTGCTTAGGGTGACGGTGACCATACCACTGCATCAAATAATTTAGGTACCAAAGAAGAACACACTTCTTTTATCATTTTGTTTTGATTGAAACTTTGCCTTGTAAAGGATACAATTCTATACTTACACAAATAAATGAGAAAAAGTCAATCTAAAAGCACTTATCAATATGGGAAAGAAAGAGGAGGTGAGAGAAAGTGAACAAAAAAGAAAGAGAAAAAAGAGAGAAGAGAAAGGAAGAAAGGAAAGAAGAATAACAAGGACACTCTAGAAAAGTGTTTGGCACATCATTGGTGCTTCAGAAATATTTGTTAAATGAATGAATTAGTTTGGATTTGCACAAAGAGAAACTGATTTGAAAAACTAAATATTGATCTAAGGAGCATCTTATGTTCTTTTAGCTCTCTTCAACTTATTTTACATGTCATTCCTTAAGAAATAGAACATAGTGGCATGAGAAGTTACGCAGGATGGTTTGATACTGTTTCCCTGGTGATGGATTCTCCATTTGGACTACAAGCCAACAATTAGAAAATCCCTTCACTCACCCGTTGGGGTGAAAACAAAATATGCTATTTTCTAGGTAGATTTCTAGGATCAAAACCATATTTGCTGTGCATACTTACACAGCGGCTCAATTTCTGCCTAAGGCTATGAAATTCTTCCACAAAGTGCATTTCCTTGCAAACTTCTAACTGGAGTTGACCAAAAACATCTTCCATGAAGAAGGACAGAAGTTGTTCCTGGAATCTGCAGTTTTTCTATAAAAAAGATAGGAAAAAATTGCCTAAGGTAAACCATGAGCAGCTTTTGTAAAATGAATCAAAATATCCCCCTGATTACTACTTCATGACCATCTGGAAAAATTAAAAGTGCAAGGAGAAAAGCATGCAACAAGTAGAAATGTGAGAAAGAAAAGCACCCCCTGGCTTACCATAAATAGCTTTTTTGTTTTCTTTTTTAATAACCGTATATTTTTTATGCGATCTTCCTACAATAAAACAAAGAGAAATAAGATTTATCCAGCATTTCAAATGTCCCTTAGGTCTTCATTCTAAGCAGAGCCTAATACTTACTGGAATCGTTGCTCTGAGGCTTGCTGCCTTGACATAGAGCATATCAACAGCTTGGGACAGGGTTCCCCTTGGGTAACAACTTTCGGCAAAGGGTGATTGCTTCTGCTTAGCAATGGCAAGAGACAGGGTGACAAACAGCAACCCAGATCTCAAAATGCAACTCACCCACATTTCCCTCCACCCCACTCAGCTCGTGTCACTCACAGTAACCAGTTATTTGTGCCGGTTAGACGGGAGGATAACCTACTTACTTTAACCCTCAAGGTCGCCTCTCCAATGAGATGCTGCGAAAGATAACTTACAGTTTAGAAAGAGGAAGATCACTTCAGTTCTAATTTTTCAGAGCTTGCTTCATAATCAAAAAACATTGACCACACCATAGGGTGACGTTAAGTAAAAGCTCAAATTTACTGGCAAGGTGGGGGCCCTGTTTCCAAAAAGCATTCAGAACCTCAGATGTGTCTCACAAAAGATTTCATTATTTTTAAAAGCCAAGCCATGCCAGTAAAAGAACCCTGATCTCCTGGAGGCTGTGTGACTGTTTTTAAATATGAAAAAAAAGAAAATCTGCTTTTGTAACTAGTATCCCAGAAAAAGTATAGAATGAGCAGCCCTGGAAACCTGCTCATGACCTCATATGGGTTTGACATTTGTCCTTTGCCAGATCCTTCACCTGCCTGCCCCTACCACACCCACCAGAAGCCATCATTCTGCAGCCCACCATGAAGACTCAAGAGAAAAATTTTCCAATTGTTTTCAAGAATTTTTCCACCTCATACATTTTAACTCCCCCAACATATTCAAGACTTTTTTGAGCCAGGACCTGGAATTAAGACCTACTTAATTAACCTACCTAATTAACCTATTAATTTAATAGGTTCTCTATCATCGGTCCATGGGCTTCCCTGGCGGCTCAGACAGTAAAGAGTCTGCCTGCAGCGCAGGAGACCCGGGTTCTATCCCTGGGTCGGGAAGATCCCCTGGAGAAGGAAATGGCAACCCACTCCAGTATTCTTGCCTGGAAAATCCCACAGACTGAGGATCCTGGTAGGCTACAGTCCGTGGGGTTGCAAAGAGTTGGACACGACTGAGCGACTTCACTTTTCACTATAACTGTTTTGTTTTTTCATTTATTCCATTAACAAATTTTTACCAAGCATCTATCTATACAAAGCACAGTGCTTGGAACCATGGGCCCACATACTAAAGTAGATGCTCCATGGACTTCTGCCCTCAACTCTGTCCCAATTCTTCCCGTGGTGATCAGTATGTTTCCTTTTGCATAGCATCCCCAGGATAACACATGGACATAGCTCAGAACCATATACTGAGAAGCAGCGCTAGGTCACCAAAGCCCAGGGCGAATGGCACCAACCTCAATCTGGGCAAGTTAACACTAAAACTCTGGTTGTGATACGAGATTCATCAAAACTAGGAAGAATCAATAAACAGGCATCAGAACACAAGACTGAATTCAGGGCATCACAGGAGGAAAGAGAAAGTATAAAGTAAAAAAATCCAAACGCATGGGAGTATTTTCTGCTGTTTCAAAAAGGACTTTTCTGGTGGTGTAGTTGTTAAGACTCTGGGCTTCCCAAGCAGCGCACGTGGCTTCGATCCCCGGTTAGGGAACTAAGATTCCCACATGCTGTGTGGTATGGTCAAAATAAAGTATAAATTAAAAAACAAATATGATTCTAACTTATGAACAAGTTCAGTTTTCTAAAAGTGACTTAAAAGAAATAAAACAAGATTAGATTTTTTTTTTAAAGTAAGTGGATCTCTTTGGAGAGCCCAAATGTCATTTCCAGAGGAGTACCTCTGCTAATTCATGAGCAGTACCTCTGCTCATCTGAAATGAGATGAGAATTCTTCCCAAAGACCTACCAGAAGACTGTTGATCAGGAGTGCAAAGTGAAGTTTACTGAAGTTTTACATGAGTTCAGGAAAAGGAAGAATTCGGTTTTTGGGGTTTTTTAATTAATTACTTTATCTTAATTTAATTGGAGGCTAATTACTTTGCAATATTGTAGTGGTTTTGCCATACACTGACATGAATCAGCCATGGGTGTACATGTGTCCCCCATCCTGAACCCCCCTCCCAACCCCCTCCCCATCCCATCCCTCAAGGTTGCCCCAGTGTACCAGCTTTGAGGTTTTAACTGGGAGTAGCTTAAAGGATGTTGGAACTGGATGTGAAATATCTTAAGGGTTTGTTGGTTCTGGTTGTTTTTTTTTCAAGCAGAGTGATACCTACTGTTCAAAGTTCTTTTAGACAAAAGAGTGTTAACATTAGGAATCAAAACCCCAAATGCTTTCAGCAGGCATGGGATTAACATACTGAATGGGTAGACATAGGACAACAGGGACTTATACATGGCCACCAAGCCTAAAGTCTATCCAGTTGTATAGTCTCCTGCAATAAAAACACCGCATCGAATACTGCTAGGAGCCATACACTGCCTTGAGCAACTAAAATCTGGGAGCTCTGATTCATACCAACAAAACATACATGCAACTCCAATTGCTAATATTGACAGTCATCAGGGTTGCTGTTTTTTTGACCTCAGATAGCTGCATTTCCATAAATATCTTATGTCTCTCAAATCCTCATGATCCAAGAAAGATCATATATGTCCCAAGGGTGCTTCTGCTTTAGGTTTCAGCCAACTTAAGAAAACCAGTCTTTTCATGACTGAAAATTGTGTCACCCCAGTGATCACAGTCATCCAACACCTTAGTCAGCAGACCTGCCTCGTTAGCGTGCATTAAAGAGTCAAAGCTGACCTCACAGGATGGATAGTGAGCATCCCTTTGAACAGGGTACTCAAAGCGCAGATCCTGAAGACAGTTCCCAAGGGACGTTCCAAAAGTGCCCTAATCCGTAGAAGAACCATTAGAAGTACACAATGTCTTTCAGGTATCAATTTAAAAGAGAAGTTTCTGCTTATTTGTATTTATTTTTATTATATCACTTCCACAATTTTCTTCTACAGACTTGTATGAAAATTGCTGTTCATTACAAGGAGATTTGGTTTTGAAACTCAGATCCACTTCTCATTAGTTATTAAGGCATTGGGAAAGTTACTAATCCTCTCTAAGCTTCAGTTTGTGTCATTGTTAAAGCAGGACAATAATTATACCTACCGCAAAGGGTTATCAGGAGCAAAAAATACAACAGTATGAATAGAATGGTTAGCACAATGCCAGCTATAGCAGCTCTCTGAAAGTGGTAGCTACTGCATTACTATTTTTCAAATAATAAATACGTCTTAGTCCATGCGGGTGCTCTAACAAGACTGGGTAGGTTTCAAAGAACAGAAATTTATCCTCACACTTCTTCAGGCTGGATGTCCAAGATCAACATGCCAGCATGGTCCCATTCTAGGAAGGGTCTGCCCTGGGTTGCAGATGCCAGCCTCTCACAGTGTCCTCACATGGTGGAAGGAGTGAAGGAGCTCTCTGGAACCTCTTCTTTAAAGGCAGGAATCCCGATCACCACGGCTCTGCCTTCATGACCAAATTACCTCTCCAAAACACCATCACCTTGGTGTCTAGGTTTCAACATACAAACTGGAGGTAGGAGAAGGGGGGGAATAAACACAAATATGCAGACCCTGGCAAAATGCATGTGTAATGCTCTGAATAGTGTTCAAGTTTATTAAAAGCCTTGAGAAGCTCTGAGAAACGATTGAAGAAAATGAGAAAAAGGAAGGATGAACAATGATCTGACAGCATTTCAGAATGTGTGGACTTGAAGAGTCCCATTTATCCCACACACACCCAGAAGGCGGACTAGGACCAACAAAGTGAATATTTTAAGGCTGCCACTCCTACATAATATACAAGAGAACATTCAAACACTTTATCTGCCCCAGTGCACAACGAATGCCCCAGTTCCTAAAGGCCAACATGACAGCCATTTCCCTTGAAATTTAAGTCCCTTCCTACCCAGAAGAATGCTAGCCACTTGCAGCCTGCTGGTCAAGCATGTCCAATAAGCAAAATGAGCTCCCCGGCTCCTGCAGAGAACCACAGCTCACTTTGAGTCCTCAGTGGTGCATCTGCTCCTCTGTAGGAGGAAAAAAATGGGGATTTTTAATTTGCTAAATCGTTTTGTTGACTCTAAGATGCTTTGTTTTCACATGTTAATATCTCTGAAATCCTAGCCTGTTTTCTAATACATGGAGTCTTAAAATGACATCACTGAATCAGAGTCTGTACAGTCATCTCTTTCTAATGACGTCATCACTCTAGTTGAACTGTGTGTGTGGCTATTACTGTGGGTATTGAGCTTAAGTGCTGTTCAAATGCTTTTGGAGAAATTACCCTATGATTTGGCCTTGACACTAAAGTTAATGTGTTTATAGAAAGGCACAGAGCAACAGTGGACCACAAATCTGATATTAGAGAAGTAAATATTTGTCTTTGGAGGAGTGACCAAAAATACATATTTTCTTGCAAAGCAACAGCCATATGCTAAAAGTTAAGAAAGCACTGCTTTGTAGTTTATTCAGCAACATGTTTTTTTTTTCCTTTCTCTCCATGGTAAATGAAAGAATACTGCAACTCCCAATATATTGCATCTTAAATTTTTTGATATATGACATTTAATGACCTCAAAGATTGGTATGATTCTCAGGATCATAAATCCTGAAATCAACACAGACATGAATAAGAAGCAAATAGATCTATTTAAACCAGTCATTCAAACAAAGACAAAAAACACTGAAATCCAATGTTTTTCCCAGGATAGAGTCAGAAGATATAGACATGAAATAGTTATAGATAGATAATTTGTTCAATACAATGATAGCTTGATTTTTGTCCCCTCAGAAATGGTAGGTCCTGCTTTACTGAACCATCCAAGAAACCTGTTTATCTTTTATTTACATCCTTATAGGGATGGATGAGAACAGATTAGAGAGGGGAAGAAGAGTGCTGTCAATGGTCTGCGTGGAAGAAAGAGGGCTATTGGGGTTGGACACATGAGCAGCATAAGGAAGAAACAGCAAGGAAATTCACTGAGGGTCTCAGCTATGTTCCAGGCCTTGTGTTAGGCAGCTGGTATTCTATGTTTTCACCCTTCATCATTAATTCATTCATTCACTAGGTTCTTAAACTGAGTGTTTGTCATCCCCCAAGCTTATTGGAGGTTGTTGGGAGAAGAA